AACTCTGCCCTGCTTCGCCTGTATCCTCCCGATGTTGTTCTTCTGTGCAGGGCCCTAGGTGTTTCTATTCCTCTTTCTGTCGTCAGCCTTTGCTTTCGGGCAGTCCTTTACACGATGACCTATCTCGCCACACTTGTAGCAAGCCCCTGTTGCCCAACGACAGACCCCAAAATGTAGCTTTCCACAACTTGCACACGTCGGCTTAGCATTACCTTCCTGATTTGAGTTGTTGGAAGTGTCCATATTCATCTTCTTCTTGGAATTGAACGGAACTCGGCGATTATCATAATTCTGTCTCTTCCTCTGACTCTCACCTGAACCCTGCTATCGGTTCAAGTTAGCTTCAGCCAGGATGGCCTTGTCTAGTACTCCGGCGTATCTCGGCATATTGAGCATGTTGACCCGACCTTGTATCGGTCCACGCAACCCACTTTCGAACTTCCTCGCCTTTCGGTATTCGTCATCAATCATGTGAGGCGCATACCTTGCCAATTCAGTAAAGGCACGATCGTATTCTGCCACTGTCTTGTTCCCTTGTATCAAGTTCTGGAACTCCATGGTCTTTCGATCTCGGACGCTAAGGGGGAAATGTTTGTTGTAGAACAACTCCAAAAATCTGGCCCAAGTCAAACCCGGATTACTTTCTCGGACCATCATCCACCACCTACGAACGTCGTCGTCTAACGTGAATGCTGCCAGAGATACCTTCTGGGCGTCTGTACTGGGGAAGATTTCAAATAACTTCTCCATTTCTAAAACCCATGCCTCGGCTTTCATTGGTTCTATACCTCCTTGGAATCTCGGCGGTTTTATTTTCTTGAACTCTCTGATCAGGGTTATCGTGTCGTTTCCATACAAAGCTTGCTGTGAAGGCACTTGCGGCACTGGAGGAGGTGGAGCTGTATATCGGCCATTCGTCTGCTCGGCCTGCGTGGAAGTGGTACCAGTATCCTGTGGCCTAGGTTGTCTCAGCTCACGAACCAAGCCTTCGACTAACCTTTCCAGTCTCTCCAATCTATCTTCAGAATGATCTTGGCCAACTAGAGGTCTACCTCTCCTCATGATGCTAGGAGGATGTAAAATGTGACTTTAAAACAACTGAACAGATAATACGTATACAAGTAACAAATGTCCATGCCGAAATGATGCACACATAGTCAAGTAGCAAGCAATATGATGCGATCCTAACATCATTCTAAGGGAAATCCTATGCTCTTTAGGACTCAAAGTGTGTGAATAACGTACTATAAGGAACTTGTGCTCTGATACCAATCTGTTACGACCCCAAACCGCCCCTAGTAGAATGGTGCCGTGATGGCCAGTAATCCGAGATTACCGAAGGGCAACTCACAAGGATCACACACGACCAGAGTATAAAATATGGGGCTTACAAGTGCGGAAGCAATATATATTGAATCTAAGTAGTCCATGAGAGCCGTGCGTAAGTCCAATGAAATGGCATACATCTTTACAAAGTCTTACAACTTAGATACAATAAGGAAATGAGATACAAAATACATCTTGACCAAAAGACTTCTCAAGCCGACATATACAAATACACATGAAATATAAGCTAAGAAGCCTGATCTTCAAGATGTTACAAAACGCGAATTCAAAACAAGTCGACAATGCACCCAAAAACATATCGGCAACACATCTAGGCCTCAATGCCTCCTTGCTCATCACCTACATATATATATAGAGAGAGTGAGCTTGGATACTCAGTGAATGATATTAGAAATAAAGGTTTTGCATGATTGATATCCAGGATCTCTTCCAAAACAATACATAGCATACTTTACAATCAAGGGGGGGAAATCAAGTTCGTTTGCCGATCTTTCAAGTTCCTTGGATGCTAATAATATCTACATAATACACGGGGCGATGACATTCCAAATGTCATCAAAACAAGATAGTGCTTGATATACAAATAAGGATAATCATTCATGCTAAATCAAACACTTTTCAAAACAAAGCAAAGCAAAGCTTATCAAAACGTATAACATAACTTTATTAAAAATACCACTCACATAGTTCTTCAAACGTCGGGGTCGAGACAAGCCCAAGTCCTACAAACACATGGCAAAGCCTATTGAATGCATTTTCAAACAAGCTTCATATGTATACAAATGATCTCGGAAAAACATGCTGGGTACTAACCAGGTCTAGGCCGAGGTTCCACACCTCCTCGCCGAGGTGTGTTCCCGAGGGCCACATTTAAGGAAAAGAAGTCGGGGGAAAATCTGGGTTTCCCTCTGCTGATGAACATGAAGAACATGAGTATGAAGAACATGAAAAATGTGAATGCTCAATCACAACCTGTTAGCACAAAATCTGGGATTTTCATGCTACGAGTTAGAAAACATGGACCTGGGTACCCATACTTGAAGTTCTTGCAGAAACAAACACAAAAACATGATTCTCAATGCAAACTTTCGGATCAAAACAAGACTTTTTCTTCAAGAACACATGAACACTATTTTCTCTTTCTAAAAACCAGCTTCAATCAATGCATGTCGTGCAGAACAGGTTCGATCGTGCAATGTAGCTAGATAGACACAAAGAACAACAAGAGTAAGCCAAGGATCTAACCTCAATACGCGAATCTAACGGTTCGATCTCTTGGAATCAAGCTCGAAGATTTACTTTCTCACTCTAAAACTTCTTCTTCCTCCTAGAGCTTCTCTCTCTAAAAGGCAAGGATATGATACCAAATGATAGGTTCTCTCACTCGGTTCTGGGCTTAACCCTCTGCTGGGACACGTGGCGGCGACTGGTTGGGTTTTCCCTCAAAAGGTGGCTGACAGACCAGACAAAAGCATGGCGAAAGGCTGTTCAACAAGTAAAGCAGTATGGCTCTCTGGCGAGGCAATGACATCGGCTAATAGCAAGGCGTCGGCAAGTAGGGTGACAGTGATCTCGGCTAGGAAGGACAACACTTGACCTAGCTGTGCCACACCTTGGCCTAGATGTGCCACACCTCGGTCTAGGTCGTACCAATCTAGGAATAAGATCACTTGGGTTCAAGGATAACATCTCGGCCTAGATGATACACATCTCGGCCTTGGTAATGCACACCTCGGCCTAGATAATGACATCTCGGCCAATATGCCAGGACGAATGTAGAGGTCAACCAGAGTGGTTCCATGGTGGTTCTAGGCTTAGGATGACCTCGGCTTGGAATAACCTAGGCTTAACATGACTAAGAGTCCTAAATGATGACAGACTTTCTATTTGGATAAAGGCAGAGCTCTTGAGAGAGTTAATCCTAATCTAAGTACTGTGATGTTTCCGCACTTGAATTCTAGATATTCGGATAGGAGACAAGAGTCCTAAATGATGACAGACTTTCTATTTGGATAAAGGCAGAGCTCTTGAGAGAGTTAATCCTAATCTAAGTACTGTGATGTTTCCGCACTTGAATTCTAGATATTCGGATAGGAGACAAGAGTCCTAAATGATGACAGACTTCTATTTAGGTAAGGGTAGAGCTTTTGAGAGAGTTAATCCTGATCCAAGTAGGAGGTGTCCAAGATAACTGTTGTCCTTGAAAGAGATAAGAGTCTATGAAGTAAGACTTCTAGGGGATGAGGGCGCTGATAATTATAAAAGGTAGACAAACCCATGGGTCTAAGGTACGCTTTAATTGAGAATTGTTTGTTTATTTAAGCCGAGATCTTTGTGAGATTGTTTGACTGACTTGATCGTCAGAGTGCCCCCGAGTAGACGAGCCATTGGTCTTGTTTCTTTCTGTGTGCAGGTGTTGGGCTTTCCTATTCTTGCACATGCTTTACAGTTTAGTTCCTAGGATCTTGGTGAGGATATCTAATTTGGTTGTGTGTTCAAAATTCAACATCCATAAATATTTTTTTTATTACATATCGATTGAAAATTTAAGGATTCAAATATAAAAATAAAAAATTATTCAAAATTTTATATTAATAGTTTCTATTTATTTTATATGCAGATCTCACACTATATAAATTCAATCTTTACCACATATTTCTCTATCCAGAAAAATCTTGATAGATATGTCATGGTTCATAACAATTTTGTAATAATAATAATAATAATAAAATTAAATTACTAAAAATATGTAAGTTGATAAAATTATTACATATGCATGAAAAAAGTTTATAATTTTAATTATTAATATTAATAAAATTTATTATTAATTTATAATTATTTTCAAAATTATATCCTGATATTATTCTTATTAAAAAACACAAAATGACAGGAATTGCCAAAAGTCAAGTCAAGTCAAGTCTGCATATAATATTATTGTTATTATTAAAAGTTGTAATTTGAAAATTATGTATCATTGTGTTGTTTAAATTATCAACAGAATGATTATGATAAATGATAAATGATAAAGTTATGTTTTACTTCTTTTTTCTTCATTAGTGTTTAGGATTCAAAGTCACACTTAAAAAATAAAAATAAAAAAGTTTAGGATTTAAAGTGACAAAAATTAAAATATTAGAGTCCAAAATAACATGAAATTCATATTTTAGAAACTATAGATATTATTTCACTATCATTTGTTGATTTAGATGATTTGTTTAAAATTGAATCAATTCAATTCGACTCAAAGTGAATATTTGAATGATAATATTAAAAATTTTAGAAATCAAAGTAACACGAAAAAGTATATTTATAGAAATGTATTTTATCCTAATTTATAATAATATGGTGAGAGCTGCAAATGAAACTATTGGAGGATCAAACACGGGACAAGGTCGTTCATCCAAATGATTGGATGCTTATGTTGTATAATTTGTTACAGAAGTGATTGTCCAAAGATATCTCTTTCATATGCATCGATCTGGCATGATCTTATTGGTCATCAATTTCCCAAAATTGAATACTTCCTAGTGGAGGATCCAAACCAAAACTATCGAAAGAAATACCTCTCCAGGTTCAATAAAAAAAAATAATTTTCCAAGTTTTATTATCTATAAATACCTCTCCTTCATGCTCTTGCAGCTCTTCATCCCTCCATCCTATTACTGTCCTTCATAGCTTTCTATTCTATTAATAACAAACAAGCCTACAATGACATTCTTGCCCAATACACTTCCCACCCACTTTCTTTCTTTCCCACCCCTTTTACTCTGCCTCATCATCCTTGCATTGCCCACTTTTTTTTATTATGCTGCTTTTGCTTCTTCCTTAACTGGAAAACAACCAACTGAAGCCACGGCTCTCTTGACGTGGAAAGCTAGCCTTCACAACCAAACACAAACTCTCCTGTCCTCCTGGGTTGGAAGCAACCATTGCACTTGGCTTGGAATTCGTTGCAACAAGGCCGGTAGAGTTGCCCATATAGACCTTCACAGTTATGGTTTGAAAGGTACTCTTTCTAATCTTAATTTCTCATCCTTTCCTCATCTCCTCGAACTTCGACTTTTTAACAACTCACTTTATGGGACCATCCCCCCTCATATTGGTAGCCTTTGGAGACTCACCTACCTTGTCTTGGCTTTTAACGATCTCTCTGGAACAATTCCGACCGAAATAGGCCAACTAATTAATCTAAGGTTCTTGTACATGAATAGAAACCAAATCGGTGGCTCCGTCCCTCAACAAATAGGATTCCTCAACTCTCTCAATGAGCTCAGCTTGTCTATTAACAATCTCACAGGTTCAATCCCTTCTTCAATTGGAAACTTGGGCAACTTAACCATTCTGTACCTTTATGATAACCAACTTTCCGGATCACTCCCTCAAGAAATTGGGATGCTGAGGTCTCTCGTTAATCTCGCACTCTCAACGAACAAACTCACTGGATCAATCCCTGGATCTATAGGAAACTTAGGCATGTTAACCACTTTGCACCTTGCTGGAAATATGCTTTCAGGGCTCATTCCTTCGACAATTGGAAACTTGACAAAGTTGAGTATATTAGATTTAAGTATAAATACATTATCAGGCTCCATTCCTTCAGAGATAGGATATTTAAAACAACTCGGTTATTTGTTATTCATTGATAACCAACTCACTGGCTCTATTCCTCTAAGATTGAACAATCTTACACATTTGAAATGGTTTCAGATAGGTTACAACAAGCTCGTTGGTCATTTACCAGAAAACATATGCTTTAGTGGATTACTTACAGAATTAAGTGCAGATGACAACAATCTCACGGGTCCTATCCCAAAAAGCTTGAAAAATTGCCATAGCCTATATCGAGTCAGGCTTGATGGAAACCAACTGTCGGGCAATATATCAGAAGATTTTGGCGTATACCCAAGCTTGGATTACATTGATTTGAGTCATAACAATTTTTATGGTGAGCTATCTAAAAACTGGGGAAAATGCCACAATTTAACTAGTCTCAAAATGTCCAACAATAAAATTTCTGGTAAGATACCATCTGAGTTAGTAGGGGCAACTCAACTATCCATTCTTGATCTCTCTTCAAATCATCTAGTTGGAGAGATCCCATTGACATTGGGAAAGTTGGTTTCACTATACAACCTTAAGCTGGATGATAACTATCTATTAGGCAATATTCCTCCAGAATTAAGTAAGTTGTCCAATTTAGAGCACCTTAACTTGGCAGCAAATGATCTAAGTGGCTCAATCCCTAGAGAACTTGGAGACTACTTAAAACTATTGGACTTAAATTTGAGCAATAATAGATTTGGGGAAAGCATTCCTATTGAAATAGGCCAGATTAACACTCTTCAAAGTCTTGATCTTGGTAATAACTTGCTAATTGGTAAGATACCACAACAGATTGGAGAATTGCGAAGCTTAGAAAGGTTGAATCTCTCCCACAATGAGTTCTTTGGTTTTATACCATCTTCTTTCAATAAAATGGTAAGTCTTACTTCCATTGATGTGTCATATAATCAGTTAGAGGGTCCTCTTCCTGACATCAAGGCCTTCCAAGAGGCTCCATTCGAGGCACTCAAAGGTAATAAAGGTTTATGTGGTAATGCTACAGGTCTTAAGGCTTGCTTGACAAAATTGAACAATGTGGATGTTGAAAAAAAGGGCAAGAAAGTTACGTTACTGACTGTACTTCTTGTTTTTGGAATTTTGTTTCTTTTGCTAATGGTTCTTGGAATTTTCATGGCTTTTCATAAGAAAGTGAGGAACACAAAAAATGAGCCATCACGAGTAAACCATGATAATGTTTTTGCAATATGGAGCTATGATGGAAAAATGGTCTATGAAAACATCATTGAAGTCACTGAGAACTTTAGTGCCAAATATTGTGTTGGAGAGGGAGGATATGGTACTATTTATAGAGCTGACCTGCCAAATGGTCAAGCAGTTGCTGTGAAGAAACTTCATGCAACACTTGATGATGACTCGGCTAATCTAAAAGGGTTTACAAGTGAGATCAGTGCATTAACTGAGATTCGACATCACAACATTGTAAAGCTGTATGGCTATTGTTCACACCCAAGGCACTCGTTTTTGGTTTATGAGTTCTTGGAAGGGGGAAGCTTGGGAAAGGTACTAAGCACGGACAATGATATAGTAGTCTTTGATTGGATTAAGAGAGTGAACACTGTTAAAGGTGTGGCAAATGCTCTATCTTATATGCACCATGATTGTTTTCAACCAATCATCCATCGAGATATATCAAGCAAGAATGTTTTGTTTGATTTGGAGTATGTGGCTCACATCTCTGATTTTGGCACAGCTAGATTTATGAATCTCAAGTCATCCAATTGGACGTCATTTGCTGGAACCTTTGGTTATGCTGCTCCTGGTATATATTTTTCTATTGCAATGATTTATTTCCAATTAAATTACCCATGTAGTGTTTGTTCATTTTAACTTGCTAATGATGACAAATTGCTAGATTTAAGCTTGTTATTCCAATTTTTTCTAATATGCATACCCTTAAATTCTGATGTATGATGAGCATAGCTACTGAAAAACCATTTTAGATGAAAAATATGCACTAAAGTAAGTAAATAGAGTTGCAGATGTGTTAGCTAATTGGGGTTGTGATAATAATTCTTACTTCTCTACTTTTTAAGAGCCTTGTAGATTGGTTAAGCATGTTGTGGCTTTAGACAGGTTGGGTACTTTGTATATATATATTCAAGTTTGTTAGTGTTGATTCTTTTTTGGACCAAATTACATTGTATCCCTATACTTTACACCATTTATTACTTTGCCCCTTGACTTTTAAATTATTTCAGTCAGCCCCTAGACTTCAAGCCCAGTTTCAATCGGGCCTAAGCATATAACATTGTCTTAAAATGAGATTTTGATAAAAATACAAGTTGATAAGGAATAAAGTGAGATTTTGATAAAAGTGTCGGGGGGCTAATTGTAATTAATTCTATCACATGATTATTCTTTGTTAGTTTTTGAAACAAAGTTATACAAATGGTCCCAATTCCAATTTGACTCGAAGTCTGGAGGGTTGAGTAAAACAAATAAAAGGTCAGAAGATAAGGTGTGATTAGATTTAAAGTATAAGGATGTACAGTGTAATTTACCCATTCTTTAGCATGAATATTTTTTTTCTTCTATTGCTTGAGAGGTAAGGCTTATTACCCCTCTCGATTTTAGATTATTAATAAATTTCTCCGTATGTCGTCAAGATTTTCCAAAAAGTAAAAAATAAAAACTCTTTTTTGCAAGACATGGAATATTTTCTCTTTGTTTAACTTTCATTTAAGAAAATGAATATTTCAGCACGATTCTATGTGTTTCCTTTATTTTGGTATTTATGGTTATAGTTGAGACTTTGGCCCGCTCTAATGACCTACCACTTGTGCAGGGATGGATCGAGGGGGTTGGCAGGGCGACCGCCACCCCAAAATTTTGAAATAACTCCTTAGATATAGTGGTATTAGTTATCAATATTTATAAATTATATAGGCTCACCCCTCCAAGATTTTATTGATTTTCTTTAACTCGATTTGTAGTGTTAAGTTTCAATCTTACTCTTCTAACTCTTGGTTTCCTTTCTCTCTCTGCCTCTTATTCTTCTTGTTTGTTTCTGTTCTTCTCTTCTCTTCTTTTTCTTCTCTTTCCTCAATTTTTTCCTCTATCTTTTTTGTTATTTAAATTCTTCCCAACACTCAATTTCCATTTTCACTTTTTCTTCCTCTTTTCCATCTCTATTTTAAAACAACTTATACTTTCAATTCTTCGTCCTTTTCTTATTTCTGTATTTAAATTCTGTCTTTCTTTATTCTGTTTCTTCTTCTTCTTCTTTGATTTAATTACATTCGATGGAAGTCATACTTGCAAACAAAGAGATCATATTACCATTGAGCATTTTCGAGTTGACATTTTACAATTACATGCGATACTCGATTACAAGAATTAAAAAAACTGATTGATTTTTCAAAATTAAAGATATTTGCAAGCTTGCTTGCAAGTAAATTTAATTTACATTTGAAATTCCAGTTAAAAAATTAGACATTCCAATTTCAAAAATTATTAATAATATTTGAGTTGTGCCAAAGTGTTTGTAAAGCAAGAAAGTCTATAATTTATTCTCTTGTCAATAGATTCAATCGTCATCTTTTAACTTTACCCATGTCTACAGTGACTACAAAATGCACATTTTTGTCAGTGAAAATTATCCAAACTAAGCAACACAAGTAGTATTTTTCTCTCCTTCATAATAAGTTCTCCCCCTATGATTAAAATCATGCATCCATCATTGCACTTGTGAACAGTCCTTCAAAAGCGACTGTAAAATGTTGGGGATGTTAGCAATCTTACTAACACACTCACAAGTTGATATAGGTCCCATACCAAGCGATGGTTGATCTTATCAAAACTTGTGAGTGCTTGTGAGTGTGTTAGTAAGATTATTAGTAAGACTGTTAGTATCCCTAGCATTGTTGATATAGTTCATTGCTTCAAAAACTTTTATTTATACTGTTAACATTTGGCAGTGAGATAATTTTCTTTAATTCTTTATTTCTCTCAAATTGTTTAGGTTGGTCATCAAATCAAAAAGACTAATAACACTTGAAGGACTTTAGTTAATATTGGTGACTAACAATCCTATTGATGTCTTGAAAATCATGTATGGAAAGGTAGGTAGTTGCTTCAATGAACTAACTATCCTATTTTAACACATTCATGGTTCTTAGGTTTTCATATTCTGAAATGTCGGCATTGGCATTCATCAAGCATTTATATAATTTCCTTTTTTTGGAACCCTAAACTATTCGCATCATTTATCAAAGAATTCCAAGCAATTTAATCAATGTCTGGAAATGGGCCAGGAGCATTTTTGTTTTCTTTTCCACCCTTTCTTTATTTAACTATTTTTTGTTGTTGGGCCTTTTTAATTTTGGGCAAAACTTGCTTATACAATGGAAGTAAATGAGAAGTGCGATGTTTATAGTTTTGGGGTGCTAGCACTGGAAGTGATTATGGGGAAGCATCCGGGTGATCTAATCTCCTCTTTATCATCATCTTCATCCTCATCATCAACATCAACTGCGCAAGGGATATTTTTGAAGGACGTCTTGGACCAACGCCTCCTACCTCCGAGGAATCAAGTGGCAGAGCAAATAGTTGTTGTTGCGAAACTAGCATTTGCATGTTTACACACCACTTCACTATCTCGGCCAACCATGCAACAAGTTGCTACGATACTATCAAAGCAAAGGCCAACACTACAAAATCAATTCTACACGATTACATTAGGACAACTCTTTGACATCAACTGCTCGAGCTCTTGAGTATTTATTTTCCTTTTTATTCTTGGATTGCATGATGTTCTTGCTTTCAGTTGTCTTCTTATACCATTCAATTTCACCCTGTTTCCAGTCTATTTTGCTACTCTGTTCTACTAATTACCATTTTACAAACTTTTATATGCGTAATTTAAAAGTATCAATCCTCTATAATTTCCATCACAGTTAGAGATACAATAATGTGTCTTGAATTTTGCAGTAGCTCACTTGTTGTATTACATATATTTATCTTGGCTCTCGATCAACAAGTAGGCTCTGTGATCAGCGTAATCCAACCATGAATAATAGACACACTCAAGCTCTGGCCATCTTGCATGCTATCAACATGTACGACATTGTATAATATCCTGTCTTCTTGATTTTTGTATTTCCAGGTAGCTGGTGAACAAGATTTTCCATGGGAACTTGGCTACACTATTATTGGACATCTACGACTTTAGTCCTGAGTTCCAAAAGCCAAGAGAACCAAGCTTGTTTTTCGAGAAATGCAAGGATTCAACTGAGTCTTCGTTGGGCATCTCAACCAGAGGGCAATCATCTAAGTTTTGGGTGGGTGGGTTTGTTTGTCTTGTTTTATGTGTTTTGTTTTGATTTCACTTCTAGCAAGGTAGTGGTCTGGTGTGGTGTGTTGCTTGCATTTTTTAGGATTCTGCCTCCTATACTAGACTTAGGTGGTGTTTTTCTTACGATCTCTTTATTCCTATGGTTCACTTGTGATTGCTTTGTATATCAAATGAAGTTCATGAATCACACCTATGATATTTAACAAGCATTCAAGGTTGGAACCAATTTGCATAGGATGGATAATTCCTTGATCATTTCATAAACTCTTTCCTCCTTCCACTCATTCTCTCGAATAAACAAAGAAATGCTAAATCTTTGTAAGTCCTTAAACCTCAAAAAGGGCTTTTAGTTTATAATCTGATCTTCAATTTGCAGCAGTGTAGGCATGGTGCTGGGGCTTGAGCTTTTGCTCTGTTTCCACTGTTCTGCTTCTTTTTTGTGTAGCCATATTGAAACCTCTCCAATTCTGGTTTTTTGGTTTGTTGTGGGATTGCTCATGATTAATCACACATAGGATGCCAACATAGTTGGGATGCTATGTTTTTGATAATGATGCAGCGTTTGTTCCCACTTTTTGTAAGTTTCTTGATCTACTTTTGATTAATAAAATCTTTGCTTCAGGCTGATCAAAAAAAGAAAAAAAAAAAAAAAGGCTTTCAGTTGTAAAAAAAATATCAATTCAAACACATTGTAAAACATCCTCACCATACAGAAACATTTACTAGAAAGTCAATTTCAAGTATCCAAATCATTCCTTCAACATTGATTCTGCAAAAGCTTTAAGCCTTTTGTCTGGCCCAATCTCTAGACATCAATCTCAAACATGTGCACATGTAGGTCTAACACACAAAGCAAACTAATACAAATGAACTCATAACCATTCACATGACCACTTTTGTCAACAAAGAAGAGTTGTTGAATTATTACCAAAAAAATGAGCAAAGTCAAGATATCTTGATTTGCTTAAGAAGTTTATTGTATTTAAGATGAACATTTTAGAAAATATACACAAGCAAATTCTAAATTCACAGACAACATATTAGTAGATCAAATAAAAATCGAAATGTTGTGTTTGGGAAGTGGGCTATTTTAATTGACTATTTGACTTTTTAGCTATTTTAACCTGGCTAAAATAGTTGTGTGTGGGAAGTTAGTTGGCTTTTATTTTTGTAGTTGATTTGATGGTTGTGAGAAAAAAAAATGTAATTATTATGGGTTGGATGTGACATTTTGTCTTATTAACTATTTTAACCTATTTTATCTTTTAATAAGCTATTTTAACCTAGCCCTTTAGCTGAACATCTTGTTTGAAATAAGAACAGGTGGATTGTTGCAATCCGCTAAAGTTGAGTTCCTGAGGTTGACTACGGGTTCAATTATAATGATTTATTAAATTGTTTATCATATGGACTCTTATGTGCATATATTTATTTAATTTTTACAATGATAGAATTTATGATTACTAAATTAATTCAAAAAAATTTATTGATTATTTATACACAAAACTAACTAGATTAAAATTTAGATCAATGAAAATAGAATCTATGCTGTTGTGCAATCTGCTTGGTAGAACAAGCCATACGTATAAGACAAATATCTTCAATTAAGTTGTGAATGCCATAAAGATCATCCGGCAAAATCAATGTGAAGTTGCTTTGCAAAAATAAAAATTGCTTAAGATTTTGCAAGTCTTAAAAGTAAACATCAAAATACGATATTATCTAATCAAGTTTTTTAAAAGTTAAGGTTTTTGATCGTAAGAATTCTTTGAAATTTTTTCATAAGTCTTAAGCAACAGCTGAAGTGATCTAATAATTGAGTCACCTCTCAGGAATGCTATGTACGAAGAAAAAAAAAGTTTATGCGTACATAAAGTAATGTTCATCATTGCATAGATGTGAGATAAAATATTTGTATTTATAATAGCGATAGATGCAACTATTTTGTCTTACATCTATATCCATAGGATTGTCAAGTGAATTAAATTGCTCGAGTTAAACTTGTATCCTATTGGCATAGTTACACAAAAAATTCATTTTTCTATACTTTTTTTTTTTATAGATAAATTATATTTTGCACTCTTGCATTTTATACCGATATCTACTTTAGTTTCCCGTCTTCACCTGTCTCGCATGTGCATCGCGAGGGTAATTCTGTGGCTCATTGCCTATGTAGGGTAGTCTTTGATTTTGATTTTCCACACCTTTGGATAGAAGGTAAAAGCTATTCCTTCATCCTTATTGTTGTTGATTGCATCTAAGGTCCCTTCTGTTTTGTAATTGCTTTCCCTATCTAAAAAAATAAAAATGTAGTCCTTATGTTTAGTCTAGTGTTAAATTGATTGACAAAAATGATATGTGTCTCATACATGAAATATTTTTTAGGACAAAAATAAGAATTTTTTAGGACAGGAAAATACAATTAAAAGAAAAAAAATACATTAGAGAGAGTAACATATGTATTAAAGTTACTTATATGCCCTTAAAAATGTAACATATGTATTAAAGTTACTTAATTAAAAATGTAAATAATTAACTATTATAATTGAAAATTTTGGGATTTAATATAAAGAGGAAAGCTGCAAAGCATAATTTATAGGGAGATTTATTTATAAATCCCTTTTAGTAGATTTATAATCCAATAAACCTACAAGGTTTTCTTGTGTTCCATCAATTCCATATATTTAGACTTATATCCCAAGAGATCCTTTTTTCCTGATTTATAATTTTTTTGGGACTATTATACCCTTTGTTCTATTTTGATAGTATGTATTATACACAATAGGATACACTACAGGAAAATATAGCAAACAAGACGGGGTTTTTAGCGACGCCGCGCCCCCCGTCGCAAAAAACCGTTTTTTGCGACGGTAACTTCTACTGTCGCAAATAATAGCCCTACAAAATTCTACATTTTATTCTATGTGAAAGCTTCAACACAAACTATAGACTAAGATTGGGAAAAGAGGTCTACCCTCAATACAAAATTATTCAAAATTAAAAAACAAATACATTCTGCCAAATTAAAGCAGGTCACACAAATAAAGTTGAAAGAAAAAAAACACACTAAAGTTTAAAAGATAAAATAGACTTTGATGCTATGTGCTAATTGAGACTGTTCTTTGTGCTTTCTAAATAGAAGATGATGTCACTCTTTTTGTGCATAATTACATCCCATGACAATTAACCCTCAAACTGATGTTGTAATTAGAGGTGACAAATTCAACTTGAAACCATGAACCTGTTCTAGTACATCCATTTAAAATATGTTTAAACCGTCCAAATCTATAAATGGACTTAAATAGGTTGCATCTTCCAAATCAAATTAAAATTGAATTTATATGGGTTGAATATCCATTTAAACGCTTTTAATCTGATACCACCAATACCATACCACAACCACCACCACCACCACCAATGCTGCCATCAAAGCACCATGTAAGCTGGTTGGTCAGGTTCATTTGTCTAATCCATATCCATATCCAATTCAACCTAACTCTCTTAAACTCATTTATTAAATAGGTAAATTTGGATCAAATTGTTTTAAATATACAACCCATTTTGACCTGGTCCAAATTTGCCCATTTTAACACCTCTAGTTGCAGCACAACCAGCATGTCTTTTATCATAAGAAGGCAAAATTTTACAGTATTAAGAAAAATATCATCTGTATAACTGCTGAATCCCTCAGTTGCAACACGGACAATGCCATATTTGCATGCTGTTATTTTCAGAAACATTGGCCGTCACTAAAAGCTAAAGTTTCCCAACGAAATAATGAATCAAATTCTTAACTTGTTAATCACTGATGTAAAGTGCAACGAGGAGAAGCAGGTGAAAATGAAGTTATTGCGAAAGAAAGTAAATATGATACTTGCATTGATTTTTGCAACGAAACTAAGCACTTTTTTGCCTTTTGTAATTCGAAAAGCTCAGTTCGAGACTCTAACTTCAATGATGGAAACAACCGCCGCCGCACTATGGCACTCCATTGAACTCTGTTCTTCAACTTACTAATATTTAGAATAGTGGTCGATTTTTGAATAGGTATATTCGTAATTTAATGTTTTGTTCACACGGTGATATTTTATCTTTTCAAGAGAGAAAACAATTCATGTGTGATATCAAAAGTTTCATTCCGGAGTGGTATCCCCTCTGATTTGCTGGGGAAAATTTGACAAAAGATTGGCAGAAAATAATAACAATAATAATTCACCTAAGACTCACTTTAAAATCCAAAGGTAGTAATCAAGCTTAGATAAATATAACAGTAGCAATCAGATGAAGAGTCTCCCTGCCTATCAAAAACAATTTTGAATTCTTATACTCACGCAATGCCCATCAAGAATAGAGCTGCAAAAGAGTTGAGTCGAGCAGCGGGTTGTCTAAGTTTTATTTGAAAACTTTAGTTTCAAAATTGTTCAAAGTTTGGCTTGTTTACATAATAAACATATTTTGTATGAGTTTTTAATGAGCTAAACATGAGTTGAGCTTGAATAGTTTGGTTTTTTTTTATACACATATGCTTATTGAGCGAGTGGTATGTTGTTCAAATTTTGTTTAAAAATTTAAGAAACTTTAAAATATGCTTAAATTTGATTTATTTATATAACGAGTTGATCTTAAACGAATTAAACACGAGTTGAGGTCAACTAACTTGGTTCGTTTTGCAGCGCTAATCAAAAACAAATTCATAAAGGCCTGCCAAAGGAAGAGCAACGCAATTGACGTGCAAATTGAACTTTTTCTAGTATGCAATGAATCATTTTGGCATTACTAACAAGCACAAAACAGAGGTCACATCTTCAAAGACATTTTAGAGGATCCTAGTCCTTCACTAAAACTGAACCAAAGACATTCATGTCTGCAAATCATAAGACAAAATTTTAACATTTTTTAATTAGGCACAAGATTTGTTGGTGAGATCAACTTCTAAAAAATCATGTTATTTTCTGGTTCTGTTTGGTTTCAAAAATAAAAAATAAAAAATAACTTTTTGACTATTTAAGTTCAAAACATTTTGCTTATTTAAGAAAAAATAATTAACAGGATCCACTTTGTTTGGCAAATGCTTAAAAAGTCATTTTCATTTCAAACTTTCTGTCTTCAGTGAATTTTTTTTTTTTTTTAATTTTCATTAAAAAGAATACTTTTCAAGTCTTTTTAGTCTAGAAGGCCAAAAAAAAG